CTTATTTTAAAACTCTTGATGACATTTATGTATAATGATTTATTTTGTATGATTTCATTCTTAATTTCAATGTTTAATACTTGAAAGTTCATATATGAAACCTTGGATGTTTGAGTGTAAGATAATTATTGTAATACAAAATTTATGTAACGCCCGCAGATTCGGACTAGTAAATTTAGAGACAATAAACATTAAAAATGACTTTTTAATAAAATATTATTTAGAATAAATAATCTTAACCAAGTTATAGTATATGTCACAAGGGTTCCATACATATAAAGAACGCTGAAATCCGAGTTATAACAAAAAAGTTATGACCCGTCGAAAATTTACGGCAAAACCGGTACGACACCGGGAATCGTAAAAAATGAATTTACGATAAAGTACTTTCTAGCCTTAGCGATCTAAAAAAAGTTCATAGTATATGTTAAACCGAGAGTGTGCATAAAAAGAATGTACAAATCTGACTTCGTATGAAGAAGTTATGATTTTTCTAAGATTTAGCTCAACAGTGCACAACTCGGAAATTCAACATTTTACATTGGTCGATGTTTAGACAAAATAATCTAAAGGGGAAATAAATATATCATTAGTAGGAGCTAAACGATAAAAAAACAATAAAAAACGGAGCTCGTATGCGAAAGATATGGACGAAGCTTAGTCCCTACTCTTCTAGTGCGACGAATTCGATACAGTTTTGAAAATATGAGATAGAATGAGAATTAGCCGACGTGATCTAAATGAAAGTTGTATTACTCGTAAATACCAATGCGTGGATATAAATAACGTCGAGAATAGAGCTCGTATGCTAAAGATATAGACAAAACTTAGTCTCTACTCTTCAAGCGAGGCGAATTCGAATACAGTTTTGTAAATTTGAAATAAAATGAGAATTAGACGACAGAGTCTAAATGAAAATTGTAGTATTCATAAATACAAGCGAATGGATATAAAGAACGTAGAAAATGGAGCTCGTACGGGGAAGATACGGACGAAACGTAGGGGCTACTCTACGATAAAATCTCTATAAATAAAGGATGAATCCTTCATATTTTCTTCACACCATAAGCCTTTCTTTCTCTCTCTAACTTCTCTCTAACTCCCCCAACCCCCCCACAACCTAGGGCACCTCCCTAGCACGAGAAGGAAGCCCCGGAGCTCCCGACGACTCCAAGAGAAAGAGCTTTTCGGCTCGGAAACGCTGCTCCAGTGAAGCCTGACTTTTAATAAAACCAGCTGTAAGTGAGCTACGCCTACCCTACCTTAAATATAGCTTATATTTAAATATAATATATTTATTATGAACCTAGAAATAAGATTTATCAATGATTCAAAGTCGTTATACTGATTGGTCTACTTACGTGAATGATGTCTAGGTGTGATTTAGTGAGGTGCTTAAAGAGGGATTTCCAAACAGTATACTTCGTATACTGTTGGAATAAAAACTTCTTATAGATCGTTAGATTCAAGCACAAAAATAAAGATAAAGAATTGATGAACACAAGAATGGTTTAACTGATGTCGAATGATTAACTTGAACACCTCAGAAGAGCTCGATTAAGAACTTCGACTGTAGAGGTGTTTAGGGTTACAATGCAACAGAGATAATAAATGACTATCATATCTTTAAAGACATACATGCATGCACTATATATATAACATAACCCTAATCTATAATCACGGTTGGACATGCCCAAACCGGATAT